ATAGACTGCGACAGAATTTCGAGCTCGAACCCATAATATCTTGTTTCTGGTCTTATTTTATTGTAATAGGCATGGGTGGAAATTACAGTAATACATTTCAAAATGTATTACTATAACTTCAAAAATTCAAAATGCATTTCAACAAAATGCTAATATTAGAATTTTAGGAGGAAATAATGATCGATGAGGATTAAAAGAGGCAATAATTCTCAGAAAAAGGCAAATTTCTATATGCACTACCCAATTAATCTAACACAACAATTAACTCCTTTCATAATATATATCCTAACTTGTATTAGGTGAGTGTAATCTCAGTCAATGAGTGCTAAACTCATAACAACAACAACAACGACGACGACGACAAACTAGTGCAAAGTGGGGTCTGAAGAGGGTAGAGTGTACGCAAATCTTACCCTACCTTATGAGAATAGAACAGCTATTTTCGATAGATCCTCGGCTCAAGGAAAGATGAAAAAGAAGCAATACCAGCAAACAGTAACAACAATACAATAGCAAAAGAAACAACTCTGATTATGGAAAAGCTGTTGGAATATAAGATGGCACTCTATATAATATCACAATGCACTAAAAGAAGATGAGAGAGAGAGAAACATAAACTGCAGTGTCGGAGCAACTTAAAAGATAACATAAAGGTGGGGTACCTAATCACATAGATCCTAAAAGTCAAATTACAAAACTAAAGTTCTATCCTATGTAATGCTAAAATGAGGGAAATGACGTAGTAGAGGATGTAGATGAGATGTGTTTGTGAGGATCCATTCACGTGCAGAAACTTAGCTAACACGTTGAAGGAAAGGCAGTAACACTCTAAATAATTTGCAAACTTAGGTGCAGGTGCATGTAATTTAGACAAATAATCTACTACCAAACATAGAGATTAAACTGAAAATTCAAACAACATATAGTTGGTCAGCACTTTATCTACTTTTCCTAATTTCTCAATAAAACCACTAACTACGCCAAATTCAAAATGAGGTACCCATTCAGAAAGGAGTGTTACCCTGCTCAAGCAACTCATGCTTCATAACCATTCTCTAACATGTATTGGAGTATAATATTTTTACATTCTTGTGACAAAAGGAAAGTTTTTACTATTGAATCCATAAATATGTATAAGTCAACAATACAACAACAACAACAGCAAAATTCCACAAGTGGGGTTTGGGGAGGGTAGTGTGTAGGCAGACCTTATCCCTAGTCCGAAGGGGTAGAGAGGCTGTTTCCGAAAGACCCTCGGCTCAAAATAATAAAAAGAAGATAAAAGGAGAGGATATTAGATTCATCACGGAGATCATAGGAAAAATAGGAACATAAAATGCAGAAGAAAAATGCAAAGCAAAAATGGTGGCTAGTAAATGGATCCAACGTCGAAAAAGAAAATAGTAAGACACGACATTGCCCCTAGCTCTCTTAGACAAAACCCTACCGGACTAGGCTCACAAAGGTACAAAGTAACGCAAGACTCAACTACCTTCTAGCCTACAACCGTAATACTCGACCTCCACAACTTCCTATCAAGTGTCATGTCCTCGGAAATCTGAAGTCTCGCCATATCCTGCCTGATCACCTCTCCCCAATACTTCTTAGGCCGCCCTCTACCTCTTCTCGTGCCTTCCACAACCAGCCGCTCACACCTCCTTACTGGAGCATCTGGGCTTCTCCTCTGTGCATGCCCGAACCATCTGAGCCTCGCTTCCCGCATCTTGTCATCAATGGGAGCCACGTGCACCTTCTCCCGAATATCATCATTCCTAATCTTATCCATCCTAGTGTGCCCGCACATCCACCTCAACATCCTCATTTCTGCTACTTTCATCTTTTGGATATGTGAGTTCTTAACAGGCCAACACTCAGTCCCATACATAATGGCAATGTATATCAAATAGTTTCAAAATTAGTACTTAATACATAACTGAAACATTATGTAAAAACTGAAAGAGATTAAATGTAGGAAAGGGGTGAAGAGAAAAAGGGCAAAAATCTAATACGAAGAAGGTCCAAATATGCCCTTGTACCATACGAAATTGAGCACATTTGTCCTTTGTTAGTACTTTAGCCCATATATGTCCTTACCGTCACATAATTATCCATATATGCCTTTACCATCATATAGTTGGTCCATATATGCTCTTTTCGAAACGGAATCCACGCAAACTAATGAGCTCTTTCCTTAATTGTATTAAAGTGTATTACAAACACTTTCTCCTTTTTATTAATATTTTTTTTCTTTACCTTTCTCTTTTCTTTTCTTCTCTTTTTTTTTTCCTTTTTCTTTCTCCCATATCCGATTTCCTTCATTGCCGATGCCTTCTCCATTACCGTCACCAATTTCACGTGATTTTATTCCTAAAAATCAAACCTACACCACCAAAACCTTCCAAGCGAGAAGGCTCTAGTTCTTCTGAAAAGAAGGAGATGAAAATTGTTGGAGAAATTTTTTTGGTGGTGTTAATTTGGTGAAGGTAGGATATGGTTATTCAGATTTTGAAGGTGTTGTTCACCGTGTAGCTTCAAATCTGAAGCGAACAAGACCTTCAAAATCTGAATAACCATACCTACCTTCACCTAATTAACACCACCGAAAAAATTTCTCTCCTTCAGGCCAGAAGAACGTGTGGGGTTTGTGATAGTAAGATTAGCAGGAATTCATGAGTTTTGTCAAGTTAAATTGGTGAAGAAAATGGAAAAGGCATCAGCAATGGAGGAACTCGGATATGGGAGAAAGAAAAAGGAAAAAAAAGAGAAGAAAAGAAAAAAGAAGAGAGAAAGTTAAAGAAAAAAAAGTACTAATAAAAAGGAAATAGTTTTTGCAATGCATTTTAGTACAATTCACGAAAAAGCTAATTAGTTTGGGTGGATTCCGTTTCAAAAAGGGCATATATGGGCTAAAGTATTAACGAAGAGCAAATGTGCTCAATTTCGTATTGTACAAGGGCATATTTGGATTTTTTCCGAATCTAATAACATGTACTAGATAAATAAGAATCCTGGCCTAAGGAAAGTGTCACGCCACCTCTATAAAATAAAAAAAGGGCAACCCCGATGCACAAAGTATCCGCGTTTACGCAGGGTCGAGAATGGGTCGTACTCCAAGGGGGTGTGATGTAAGCAGCTCTGCGTAGACCATAACTATTTGGATATATAGACGGTTGAGACAAGCAAACACAAGGGAGACTTCTTGTGTATAGTGATAAAAATGGTTCAAAGATTGCTTTAGATTGTTCATTTTAAATCGCAGTTATAACACTTAACATTTTATATACTCAATTTTTTCTTTCCAATTGTAGACCCCCATGTCCATTTGACTTCTAATTACAATCCAAAAAAAAAATGGTGGCTGGTCAAATAGACAAACATTAATGTAGTAGTTGTGGCAGTTAAAAAGTTGCATTCAAATGTTCTTGATTGCTTCCTGCAATTTATAGTCCAAATCTAGAGAAGACCCTCTTTTATCTATTTAAATTCTTTCTTCATTCTTGTTTTTTTTGCTCTGACAAATACTCCTTCTACTTCAGTTTATGTGACACTATTTCCTATAATCTACTCAAAAAAGAATAACATACTTCTATAGTTGGAACTTGGAAACAAATAATTTTACACTTCCTATTTTACCCTTCACGAGAAATTTGTATTCCCATATAAATGTTATGACATGTTTAAGATCACAAGTTTTAAAAGTTTTATAGCTATACAAACCTTATGGTATATTCAAAATTACAAGTTTCAAAGGTCTTAATATTTTTCTTGAATTGGAATGGAGGAAGTATTAATTACTAAGTAACAGCTAAATGTATTTTAAATTGTATTCATATACTAATATTAAATAAGGACAAAACGAAGTAATCAGGTTTCGTGGTGTAGTTGGTTATCACGTCAGTCTAACACACTGAAGGTCTCCGGTTCGAGTCCGGGCGAAGCCACTTTCTTTATTATTTCCGCTTTCTATTTTTTGGCAGATAGGCGTGAGATGAAATTCATCTTCTTCTTCTTTTTGTTCCTTTAATTGTGCTGGTGAATGTCTATCCATTAATATGCAATAATGCAGACAAGAACAACAAGAAAACTTTGGCCATAATAAAATGCTAATTATACCCTCAACAGAGTAAACTTTGAACACCTCAAGGGCAAATGTAGAAGGTTACTTAACCAAATAACTTTAGCTCATATTTTGTGTATATGTTAAGAATTCCACTAAATAAGTATAAATATTAGATTAAAAACTCATTAAGCCAAATGGGTTGTAGCGTAATTTCGAACTCGAACCCATAATATTCAAATTCTGAATCTACCTCTGTTAAATAAACATGATGGAAGAGGTAGTGTGAATTAGCTGGTTACTTATTTGTCAAGGAGAGTTAACTCGATTTCTTCTTTTCTTATGATTTATCAAGTTATACGGGGAGACCAAAAAGCCCTCTGCTGCCGGCGAGCAGATGTATAATGTACTACATCGATCCAGTAACTTGTTAAGAATGTTGTGGCGGCCTTCATTTGCCCATTTCTCCATTGTATGAGAAGAAAATAGGCTTTGTTGTAACAATTGTATTTGTTGGTTGGACTTCATTTGCAATGTTTGGTTTCTGATCTTATTTTATTATAATAGCCATGGTGGACGTTATAGTAATAACTATAAAATGGCAAAAGGATGAAAAGTCAAAATGCATTTCAACAAAATGCTATTATTAGAATTTTAGGAGGACATAATGATCGATGAGGATTATCATTAAAAGAGGAGGCAATAATTCACAGAAAAAGAAATTTCTATATATACGCACTACCCAATTAGTCTTAACACAACACTTAACTCCTTTTATTATATATATATATATAGTTTTGCTAACCTACTATTATACACTTTTGAGTTCTCCAAAATACCCCTAGCATCACATCAACAACATATGAACTAATTGGGGGTTTTTGTCATTTCCTTGTTCAATCTTCTTCTTCACCCTTTCAATCCAGCATCGGAATCATTCAAGGATATTAAATTTGGCTCCATTTTCATTTTCAGTAGGGATTAACAAAAAATTTCATTAACATTAATCCAAAAACTAACCCACTTTCAGAAGGGATTAACATATTTTTAACTCCTCATCCTTCCAAAGAAGCTCCAAAAACTAGACACAAATCTCAAAAAATAACGTATTGTTGTTTATGAGATTTTCAACATATCTATTATTTAATTCAGCCATCAAAAGTTAAGCCAAATCTAGCCAATTTCTTTGAGTGACGCTTCTGATCTTCTTAAGCTTGTAAACCCAGCAAACAAAAGTAAAACCAAATCTAACCAACTTCATTGTTCTGAAATATAAACCCAGAAATCAAGAGGTAAAATAAAGCTAACCAATTTCATTGTTATAATCTGAAACTGAAACAATAAAATTGGTTGTAATCTGAAACTTTCTTACATTTTTATAGGATTGATCTTGATGGAAATGGATTCATCTCATCGTCAATTTATCTCTCACTTTTTTGGTTACCTAACTGGGTTTGGAACTGTGATTTAGATGGGTGTGATTCTTTCTTCATGGATATACTAGGAATTGCGCAGAAGAAGTGGAAGGTGTTTGGACGGAAATTGTAGAGAAGAAAAGGCAACTTTTGTAAAGACAAAAGAGTCCCTACATTTAATTGGAGCGTGATTGGAGATTGCTAGGGGTATTTTGGACTCAAAAGTGTATATATATTTTTTTTTGGTGAGAAAGATAATATTGCATAAAATTTAACGAAAAATTACTACAGAGAGAGTGATGCATGTGCATCGCCATTATAGTTGTTTGATAGTTGTCTATTACATTGATGGATACTACTTATCCCAATGGAGTTTTCTACAATATTGGCGCCATTGGTTGTTGTGGTTGCATGTTCATCATCATAGATCAAAAAAGTGTTTTGTTCCATGTCCATAGCTTGTTCCGCTGGTCTACACGTCGTCCTCCTATATCGTACAGCTCCTGCTTGATCCATTTGCAAAAAGGTGTTGACAATATCCGGTGGCTCTTCAAAAACAATAGGTTTTGCAACAGCTTCCATGGTGTATCTAGCCTTAGCCAAACGATCAGCCACCTCATTTCCCTCTCTGTAGGTATGTGCAATTGTGACACTATGCATTTGGTCCGGGAGGTGCCTGCAGTCAGCAATTAGATTAGTATAAACGACATTATCATTTTTTAACAGGGTTAATACCTTTGATGCACCGACGTTTATTTCCAGGGGAATCAAATTGCGAGAAGTTGCCTATTCCAGCCCTTGAAAGAGGGCTTGTAGTTCTGCATGGATGATGGTTGCAGTGTCAAAGTTACCTGCAAATCCTATAATCCAATTTCTATTTGAGCCGCGTATGAGTCCCCCTATACCTGCTTTATGAGTTACTGATGATGCAGCCATCAGTATCTAATTTATAGTAGTTTGGTTTTGGGGGTATCCATTTTATAGGCTGCATTATAGGAAAGAAATTTTTTTCCATGTTTGTTGCTAAGTAAGTAAATTCCAGCGCTTGATTGGTGATTAATTTAGTGGATAGATGGTGTTGTGTGCGATTAAAGTTGTGATTGTTACGAGCAATCCAAATGTGCCAAATGTGTCGGAAATAAAAGTTTATTATTGATACGGTAAGGCATGTTATTTCATTTAGTATTAATAAGACCATTCCGAGGGGTGTGAAAATCTACTGATATGGTTGATAACCTCCTATACAATGCTAACCTCCTACAATTATGTAATAGGTTAGCAAAACTTATATATATATATATATATATATATATATATATATATATATATATATATATATATATATATATATATATATATATATATATATATCCGACTTATACTTGTACTAGGTGAGTGTAATCTTGATCAATGAGTGCTAAACTCTAAACAATAACAACGGCCCTAAAAAGATTCAGTCCCTCAAAAGATTCACAATGTTTATAATTGTACCTTCTCTACCCATGCATCCTTGTATTCTACAATATAAGGGTTATCTAGCTTGCTATCAAATTCATCTGCAAGAATTAAACTTGAAAGTTAGTTAAGAATAATTACTTACTCTATTAGATAATTGTTTATAGAAAAAGTGTTTCATGTATAAAGTAATTTCCTTTTATAATACTATAAATTAAAAAGATTGTGGTCCGGGAACCCTAGGATAATAATACGGGAATTAAACAATGACGAAATTATTAATGGATATATTGTTATTGGAATACGTTTGATTTATTGACTAAAAAGGGGATATACAGGGCATAATGTAAAATTGTGTTTGGTGTATACTAGATAAGATAAATTTTTATTTCTAAATTTAACCTTAAATTTTTTAAAGAACTTTGGGGGAAGAGCCTATTTCAAAGGACATCTTTGTTGTTATAGTGTTTTTTCCCGGAATTAAGTAATACCCGTATTATTATCCCATCCTCGATGTAGGATAGAATAATACCACAATTGTTATATAAATTAATCCCGATATTGCTAATCTCGGATTCAAAAATTCAACCAAACACGAGATAAAATAATCTCGCATCAAATTCCAAGATTTTCCATTCCTTACCCCACCAACCAAACGAGTGCTAAGGTTCTTGTGATGGTTTTTCCATCTTGTCTTCGACCACGTAGGAAAATAAGTGCAAGGACTTGAGACATTTCTCATTTAATAACATTGAAAGCTATGACAGAAAGAATAATTACTTGACAGTAAGGAAAAGAAGTTGGAAGTTATTTCTAACATTTATAATCTCTACCAAACATTTTACATCTCACCTTTTCTTTTTTCTCATTGTTAATTTGTTTTTATATATTTGACAGGGAGGTTGTTACACCAGAATGCATTTGGTCAAACTCTGAACAAAACCAACAACTACGCCAAATTCAAAACGAAGTACCCATTTACCCTGCTCAGGCAACTCATGCTTCATAACCAATCTCTAACATGTATTGGAGTATAATCTTTTTACCTTCTTGTAACAAAGGAAAGTTATCTGATGTTACTAATTCCTTTCTGAAATAGCAAGAAAGGGCAACTTTGTAAACTTAAAGAAATAAAAGATACAAGAATGAATATCCCAAGAAACCATTGCAAAATCTCCAATTCTAACATCAAGCATCTTTCTAATGCAGAGGTTGCATGACCTCTCAGTTGCCATGGACAATTGCTGAAAACAGCATCTGATTGATATCTTCCCCCGACTCAAGGCTCTCATCCTCTGCATAATGGAGAAGTTACTCAGGAAAAAATACATTATCCTATCAAGTAAACGCCTACTTAAACCAATGATAATGATCATTGGTATTGTTCAAATGAGTTCCAATCTTCTGTTGTTGATCATCGAGTAACATCTCGTGAAAAGAAAATCCAAATTAGCAAATTAATTTAAACCATGCATGTGTTTTACAATCTGCAAAGCCACCTACTTCCCTTCCAGGGCGGGAAGCACTCAAGGAAATAAAGAAAAACCAGCACGATTTATAACAATAGAGTCACATCAATTTCTCTCTTCTCTCATGCTCACAGCACACGTTAGATAAACATACGCCAGCGTGGCCGCCATGGGGAAAGGGAGAGGTCGTGCGCGAGGAAGACCAAAACGAACACCTGTTATAGCTTTTGGAAGTACAGTAAGCTCTAAGACGCAAGCGGGAAAGATGAATTCAACGCAGGAACATGCAATGGTGACACCGGAGATGCAATCGATAGCTAAGATCTCAATGGAAATTGATTCATCTTCGAGAGATACTGGGGCAAGTAAGAAGCTCAATCTCAGTGGCTCAACTTCAAATTGTCAATTGACTCAGCTAAGTAAAGGCAAATCTAATGGGAAAGGCAATGGAACAGTAACCATTGACAACCCTAATGGGGAAAGCAATGGAACAGTAACCATTGACAACCCTAATTTAGAGAGGAGGAACAGTGAGGACCCAAATCAAGAAAGCACTCATGAGGAGGATAATTTGAACAAAATTGAAAAGCTTAGTACCAATTTAGGCACGATTGGTAGTGAGAACCCCCAGGTGAAAGCTAATGAAACAATAGAACCTACTGTTGTTGCAGGACCAAAACCACGGGCAAATCTTTTTCAACAGAACAAGGTCGCAACTCATGGAATGGCATTACGATACATCCCCCCTCAAATTGTTGATGGGCAGACAGTTGTTCAATTGGAAATGAAGATGTTGAAAAAGAAGAGGAGAAATGGAGCTGTGCTTTGATTGCCTACATCATTGGAAGTAATCCAGGATACAATGCAATGAAGAGGTACATTGATCAACACTGGTTGGATGTTGCAGAACCAGAATTATTTTTGCATGATGAGGGGTACTATGTCATCAAGTTTCAGTCAATGGAGGATATGCACAGAATCTTCTATGCTGGCTCTCACACTAATAGTAATAGACCAATCATCTTGGAGCCTTGGACGACTGATTTTGATCTGAGCAAGGAGTTTCTCACAGAAATTCCCTTATGGGTTGTCTTACCTAATTTGCCAATGAATTGCTGGGGAAGTGAGTCGTTAAGCAAAATAGCTAGTGCAATTGGGAAGCCACTGTTTGCCGATGAGTGCACTACAAAGCAAACACGAATATCATATGCAAGAATGATGGTAGCAGCTAATGTGACTAAAACTCTACCAACAGAAGTCACCATCATGGATCCAAGAGGCAAGAAATTTCAACAACAGTTGGTGTACTGTGACAAGTGCCAATCTATTGGACACACATGTGCTAACCAGCAAGTCCCTAAACCACAACATGTAGAACAACCTAGAAGAAGAAGAGAGGCCAGAAAAGTTACCTATGAATAGAGAACCAAGGGTCCTGTGGTGAATGCAGAGGCTGCTAATGAAGAACAACCTCAGGCCCCTAATATGCAACACCATAGTCAAAGCAGTGACCAAAGGATAGCCCAAAAGAATTGTCCAATCTCAGAAGCAAATACAACAGTGAGGCAAGAGTCGATGCAAAAAGGTAAAGACTAGGAAGTGGCCAGCCCAGAAATGAACTTGACAAATTTTCCTATGCTACCAACTTCCACAAGCAGAACTAAGGTTTTGTAGACTAAAAGGGGTCATAGTGCAAGCCTTTCCCTGCCTCATGATCGAGGAGGGGTTAAACAAACCAATTAATGACCTGGCTTTTCTGGAATATCAGGGGTGTGAACAAGTGGTATAACCAGAAAGAATTGAAGAACTACCTGAAAATTAATAATATTAGACTAGCAGGTATAGTAGAAACAAGGGTGAAACAAGGGTGAAAGAACATAATGCAAGAAAGGTACGGTGTCATATTGCCCCTGGCTGGGAAACTCTTCATAACGACAATTATGCTGTTAATGGAAGAATATGATTGCTATGGGATTCAAGTTACTATACAATTACTTTGCTGAGAGCAGAAGCACAACTAATTCATTGTTCAGTTAAAGGGATTGATGATGATATTGATTGCTTAGTGACAGTTGTGTATGCATACAATACTGTAGAAAAGAGAACATCGGTGGGAACAACTGGAGGAGATTTCAATTCAGTTTTATACTCACAGGACAGACTTTATGGAAATCCAGTTAATGCGACAGAGAATAGAGACTATGCAAATTGTGTACAAACACTAGGTCTCAATGAATTGACTTGGGAAGGAGAATATTATACATGGTCTAATAATCAATCGGGAGCTGACAAAATATGGAGTAGAACTGATAGAATGTTTGGGAACTATGATTGGACGATGAAATGGGGACACATTTGTACTGAGTATGGGCTGCCTTATATCTCAGATCACTCTCCTATGTGCATGAAGTTAACAATCAAATAGTGGACTGGGAAAGCACCTTTTAAGTTCTTCAATGTATGGGCAGATCATGAAGATTTCTTATCCATTGTGAAGCAGGGATGGGGCAAGAGACTCAGAAGCAAGAAGATGCAAAATATCTGGTTAAAATTGAAGGCACTCAGACTTGTGCTAAGGAAGTTGAATAATGAGGAATTCAAGTTCATTAAACAAAAGATAGAAAGAGTAAGAGCAGAGCGTACTGTCATACAGGGGCAAATCTCTACACAATGTACAGATGAGTTATTAGTGGAAAAGAGACAATAATACAAAACCTTGAGAAATGGGATTTGATGGAGGAAGGTGCCTTGAAACAAAAAGCTAGAGCAAAGTGGATCAAGCTAGGAGACTCAAATTCAAAGTATTTTGCAGCAGTATAAAGGAAAGGCAGCAGAGGAAACAGATAATTGAGCTTACTTCTCTTACTGAAGACAAATTATCTGAACCTGAAGATATCACTAATGAAATAGTGAGTTTTTATAAATCATTGATGGGATCTGCAGCGCACAGCCTACCAACAATAGAAAAGGAAATAATGCAAAAAGGACCAATACTGTCACAGCAACAGAGGATTATACTATGTCAAGATGTCACTAAACAAGAAGTTTATGATGGACTAATGTCATTTGGTGATGACAAAGCCCTTGGTGTTGATGGATTCAATGCTTATTTTTTCAAGAAGGCATTGGAAGGTCATTCACCAAGAAGTTACAGCAGCTGTTATGGATTTCTTTGCCACTGGGAAGCTATACAGAGCAATCAATTGTACAGCTATCACCTTAGTTCCCAAGACCGGCAAACTTAAAACAATTAAAGAATTTAGGCAATTGCATGTTGCACAGTGCTTTATAAGATAATTTCCAAAATCCTAGCTGCTAGAATTCAAGTTGTTATCTCTACTGTAATTAGTGAAGCACAGGCTGGCTTTATACCTGGTAGGAGGATATCTGACAATGTCATTTTAGCACATAAGTTCAAAGCCTATTCTAGGAAACACATCTCCCCCAGATGCATGATTAAGATAGATCTTTAGAAGGCCTATGATTTTGTGGAATGGCCCTACTTGAAGCAGGTTATGGAAGAGCAAGGATTTCCTAAATTGTTCATCTCATGGGATATGGAATGCATAGAGACTGTCAATTATTCTGTCATAGTTAATGGAGAATATTCAGTACCATTCAATGCTGCCAAGGGCCTCAGACAAGGTGATCCAATGTCACCTTTTCTTTTTGCAATTGTTATGGAGTATTTGAGTAGAAGCTTACATGATCTTAAGGCAAACAAAGAGTACAACTATCACCCCAGGTGTTCAAGGCTCAAGATTATTCACTTATGTTGCTGATGACCTCTTACTATTTGCTAGAAGGGATGTGAAGTCAGTAGCTGCAATAGCTCATAAATTCCTACAGTTTACAAAAGAATCTGGGCTACAGGCTAACCAAAGTAAAAGTGCAGTATACTTTGGAGGAGTATCAACAACAGTGCAACAGCAGATCTTACAGCACTTGGGTTTCACCACAGGAGACCTGCCTTTCAAATATTTGGGAGTTCCTCTATCTACCAAGAAATTGAGTATCATGCAATGGCAACCTTTGATAGACAAGATGGCATAAAAAATAACCTCATGGCCTGCAAGGAAGCTCTCATATGCTGGCAGAGTTCAGCTATTCCAAAGTGTTTTGTTTGGAATACAAGCTTTCTGGGCTCAACTTTTCATTATCCCTGCCAAGGTGATCAAGGTCATTGAAGGTATATGCAGATCGTATGTGTGGTCAGGTACCAATGTGATCACAAAGAAAGCTTTACTAGCCTAGGATAAGGTATGTCTACCCAAAGCTGGAGGTGGGCTGAACCTTACAAATCTGCAAATCTGCAACAAAGCTGCTACAGCTAAAGTATGCTGGGATTTGGCTCACAAGGAAGATAAGCTATGGATCAGATGGATTCATACCTACTACATCAAAAATCAGCAATTCAACATTATCCCGATCCCTCAACAGGCTTGCTGGATGGTTAGGAAGATATTTGAAGCTAGAGGTTCCCTAGAGAATATTATACTTGCATAGACACCTAAGAAGAGCCTAATCAGGCACATATACTTCCATCTGCTTGGTGACTATGCAAGGGTTGAATGGAAAAGCATCCTGTTCAACAATGTTGCACGACCAAAAGCAAAATTCACAATGTGGCTATTGCTGTAGGGAAGACTACTGACAACCGATAGGTTAAGTAAATGGGGTATACATGTGAATACACAGTGTGCCTTATGTCAAGAATGGAAAGAAACAAAAGAGCACTTGTTTGTACACTGCAGATATGCAGAGCTGTACCATTGGATACAGTTACACGAGCCTACCACAAGAGGTTGGGTCATCAAGTGTTCAAAAGGAAAATCCCAACAAGCAATGATCTTCAAACTTGTCTATGCAGAGGCTATTCACCATATTTGGATTGAGAGGAACTTACGAATATTCGAACAAAGAAGTAGGCAACATGGAAACATTGCAAAGGAGATAGCTTACATTTGCTGTGTTCGGGCACCCCCTAGGATCAAAGCTCAATTACAGTGTCATGTCTTCTAATATGATCAAAGTAGGAAGTAGGTAGTTTGCTATGTTTTTTTCGTATTGAGATAGCTAGCTTTGTTGGCTTAGCTATGGATTTGTAACTGATCTTTGTTGGCTTAGCTATGGATTTGTAACTGATTGCTTTGGTGATTAATGAAATTAAGTTCGTTACCATAAAATAAAATAAAAAAAACCAGCACGCTATGCCTTAATCCAAACTAATTAAGGTTGGCTAAATGAATAATGGTCTTTCAAGACAAATTAGGGTTTCTCAAAAACTAAAGATTCTTTAAATCTCACACTTATCCCTAGCAGGACATAATGTAAGTCTAGCAACAACTAAGTTTTAATTTCACTAGTTTGTATTGCATATATGGATCTTTTGCTTCCATTTTGAACTATTCTTCAATAAGTGTGTACTCATAGTAAGTTGTCACCTCCAACCCCCCCCCCCCCCCACACACACACACACACACAAACCCCAACCCCCCACATTTATTAATTTCAGCAATCCAGTTTAGATGCCGAAAATGCTCCAAGGTACTGATCACAGCTACCCGGAAATTGACAATGCAGTGCAGGAGTAAAAGCCTATTAGAAAGAAGATTTAACAAACCATTAGTTACGGAGGTTCATCAATGGGCTAGTCGTGATGAGAAGAAGGAAAAAGAATGTGCTGCTTATAAGCTTCAATTATGGTCAAAATGCTTATCGGACACAGTCACAACAGGACCAGCAGACACATATTTACCCCAAATATGTACCTCTCTTTCATTTACATGTTTTCTTTATGCAGGAAACATAAGTTCTACGCCAACAACAACATACCTAGTATTATCGTGGGGTCTGGAGAGGGTAGTGTGTAGGCAGACCTTACCCCTACCTTGTGAGGATAAAGAGGTTGTTTCCAACAGACCCTCGGTGCAGGATAAGTTCTACGCCAGTCAAGTGTTACAATTTGAACATACAAGTTATGAAATTGCCATTATGATACTGCACCTGTTCTTGATCTGACTTGAGTTGTCCATTCGTTGATGACCTGCACATCAAGAATAAAGAAAAATTTGGAGAGAGAGAGAGAGAGAGTGTGTGTGTGTGTGATCCGAAACACCAAGAAAGGAGGTAGGGGAGGGGAAACTGTAGCAGGGCAACTATAGCCACCACAGCAAGCACTTAAATGCCATGGCAAGTGGCAACTAAATCAGGAATCTTGCCCTTCAGATTAATCTTTGGTTGCCTGCTGGAAAATGGTGCATATTCTCTAGACACTATTTGGATTTTTGCAACCTTGCCACAATCAAGAAGAAGTCAATAAAATTGCAATAATTTTTCTCAAAAAGTGGAGTAAAACCTAGGAATATGATAAATAAAGAATGATGTGAGATGAAAATCATTTTTCATCTGAAAGCCTTAGAAAGCCGTCTCTTGGAGAAATTTATCATATATATTATACACTCACTCCAACTCAAACATTCTATATTTCAAGATATAATGGTTGTGGTTGGGTGGGAGAAGGAATCTTTAAACACTTCATATATCTAGGAACTATAATAACCCTTATGGAGAAGGAGAGCCTTGGAGGAACGATAAAGTTATCTCCGTGTGACCTATAGGTCACGGGTTCGGGCCCTGAAAGCAGCCACTAATGCTTGCATTAGGATAGACTGTCTACGTTACACCCTTTGGGGTGCGGTCCTTCCCCGGACCCTACATGAACACGGGATGTCTTGTGCACTGGGCTGCCCCTCAACAATAACCCTTATAGAATGATGCTGCAAAATCAAGTTACCTGGTTGAAGCTAGCATATGATGGATCATCAGAATCACTGATGATAGGAACACCGGTAGATAATTGCAATCTTTGCAGCAACGACCTGTTTCCAACTAAGGTTCCCCGAGCTTTATCAATCAAATCCTGTTTATAGTGTGACCAGCATAAAAGTTCTTAAATCCCAGTACAGCACAGTAAAAGAAACATTTATGATAAAGAAAGAGGTGACTGGACGCCTATTTGCTACTAATAACCACGAAGTCTTGGTCCCAACTATAGCAACTTCTAAAGTACAGAAAAGCTATACGAACACTATATACAGACTCTTGAAAGGTAAAGGATAACTAAATTCATGGCCTGAAAACAAAATTTATGCTTCCTATTTTTAGAAAAAAAAAATTCAACAGCTTTTTTCATGGATTCTATCATAAGGCATTCAGCTGCTGCGGGTCAAGACATGCTAAGTGTCAATCTTCAGCAGTCAGTACAAGTATTCAAAGTTTTGTAATGACAAAATTAAGCTCCATAAATATCAACTTTAAGTTTCAGATACTCAATGCATTCAGCTGTAAAATTTCTACTTCATATCAACATAGACTTCATTTTTTTGAAGGACGAAACTTCAGCATCATATGAAATCTTCACTCATGTTTGCCCGAATAAGTTTGCGCATTTGTTTCTCCCTGAATATCCTTTACGCTTTCTCATTGTCACACACTTAACAGATGTCACTGAGCTTGACATCAACATGGTCCATTACTTCCGAAAACATAGTAATTACAGAACTTCATCATCAGAGTAGTGGCATTTCCACAAAGACAACAATTAATACATGCATTGAATATTGATGCAGTAACAAAGCAGTCTAGCTTACACATTCTGGTACCAACAACATGCCACACATCTTCCGTTTCTTTTTTCTTTCGCTTTTGCAGAAGGCAAGAGCAGACAAACATCATAAAACAACTTACTAAGTTCAAAATCAACTTTAAGTCAAGAGCCAATGATACCTATTGGCTTAGTGAAACCTTATATAATGTCCTCCATAGTTATCAACAACAATCAAATTTCAATAGATTCTACAATAATATGGAAGTGAAACTTGGAGAATTACTGACCAGGACTAGTTGATGTATGGATTCAAAGTAGTTATTACTAACTACCTGATTATATAGCTTCCAAACACCATATCCACGAAGCCCAAGCAATAACGCAAACAAGTTTTAAATTTTGGCAGGCAATAGAACCACTTGGATGGAGAAACGGGCAGCAATCATCTTTTATATTTACCATATAGGTAAGCAGATTTCAGTTTCCATAAGGAACTCAAGAACTCAGAAAATTTTGTCCAGTGTAGTTGACTTCAGCAGGCGAGAAAGTCACCAGTAAACTTTGGTCGAGTAAAGAACCATGAGAAAGCCTTAGGTATTTTGAAAAACAGGGGAGAAAGAGAAAGAAATCCAGTCTAATGGTGGACAAGAAAAGAAGAGGACTACAGCAACAAAATAGGAGATGCGGCCTTTGTTATTTGATTCAAAACAACCAGGTTCTCCTTATTTCTATCTCATTGCTAACCTATGTTATTCTAATTCTTTATATCAAAAAAGAAAAACAACTAGCAATCTCAATTCTATGTTAGATGGGCTCGTTCATGGGTATATACATGAGAAGTATCCGGTACAGTTACGTGTTGTTCTTTTGCTAATTTTTAGTGCAGTGAAGACCATGCGCGATGTATCTCTACTCATGTCACACCCCTACGACACGATACATCAACGCAAACAAGGGATCTATGTGCGGTAGTCTCAACATAATCAGTCTTGAAACATTCTATTTTTCCTTTTTTCTCAGCGAGCATGTTTTTGAAATTTTACACTGGAGTTTGTTTAATCACCAAAATATCGCATTCTCGAGTTATTTATCACAAATTATTTCAATACCGAAATATAGTTCTTTCACTTGACTGTAATCAACTAACATATCCTTCATTTGATGTTTCAAACAACCTGGCTTATTTCTTCTTACATTTCATTATTATTTTGATAACCGAAAAATCTTGAGTCAAACTCGGTGGTTAATGAGCCCGCCCCTCTACCCTTCTCCACTTAAATACCAGACTTTTTTCCGTAGCAGGGCTCGAACTCGTGACGTGGGCCAAACACACATTTCCGTACTTGCACTATCTGAATACAAGAATTTGAAATAATATTAAAGTCCCAAAGCAAAAAAGAATAATACACTCGCACATTAGTATACATACATATGTTAGCCTGTCTCGAAACACAAATTAATAAATACCGAAAGAAGATGGACCAAAATACAGTGGAATGGATATAAATAATTCATATAATTGACCCCAACTAGGTTGGGGTTGAGCAGTGCCACGTAGACTTAAGGGTGATCAGTTAAACACCTTTCATCAAAAAATTATAAGGCACAAAAGAGAAAATTATACTCAATATATAGGAAAAAATTAATTTTATAGATATATATTAAATTTGAACATTTTTAGCGGAACTCCTGGTTTCGCCAATGGTTGAGGCGTAGTAGTTATAATCAATCAATACCTGTTTAGCTGCAAGTAACTCACGGCACTGCTCCTTCAAGGTGGACATTTCATCTTGAACTTTCTTAATCCTCGAAACTAGCTTCATGGGGTTTGCCTGGAACCAAACAAAAGTATTTAAGTTATATAGACTGACAATGTAGAATATGCTAAATTTTAACATGTTCTAACAAATTATTTATTATTTTTACCAGACTATCAATTAATGTTTATCAAGACATTTACCTATAAATTAGTACCTAATAAATGACCTAATGAGTAACTATTTTTTTACAACCGGCATTAGAACAACAACAAAAAAAAAAAAAAAAAAAAAAAGAAAAACCAATTTAATCCCATAAGTTGAGTATGGGGAGGGTAGTGTATATGCGGACCTTACCCCTACCCTACCCTATAAAGGTAGAGAGGTTGTTTCCGATAGACCATCGGCTCAAGGAATAGTAAAAATAAAACAACAAGGAATAGCATCAGCAATGCAATAGGGTCGGCATTACATAGAATTTAAGCTAAAAAAATAGCAAAACAAAAAGACAAAAAATCAAAACCCAGAAAAACTGGAAAGAGCAAAAGCATTTAAGTTATATCACTGACAGTGCAAATTATTTTTTTACAATATCAATAACTTTTAACCTGTGTTAGTTATTTTTATCAGATTACTAATTAATGTTTATCGAGATATTACCTGTAAATTACCTAATAAGTAACTTGATGTGTAACTATACTTTTAATGCATAGAATTTAAATTCAAAAAATTGAAAAAATATCAAAAACAAGAAGAAGCAAAAAATCAAAATCAATAGAATCTGAAAAGAGTAAATTGCAGACATTATCAGGGTAGACTTGTTGAAATTCCTTTTCGAGCTTGTTTTGGACTGTTGTCAAGTCATGGTTGGCTTTAGTGAAGAGTGTTAAAATCCCGTCCACTGATTGATGTTGCTCGTTCTCTAAATGGTGATATTGACTTAGATTACGGTGACTCATTGTTCTTTTTCTTCTCAATTTCTAGCTCTTTACTCGAAAATGGCAGAAATGAGAGGCTTTTTTTTGAATTTTCAGGAGAAAGGGAAAGGGAAAGGAGTGAAGAGGGAAATGGAGGGAATTGTCAAATGAGTCCGTATAACTATTGTGGAAGGACTGCTTTTTGTGAGTTTTTAAACCGAGAATGACCCCTTAAGTTGACAGAAAAAACAAAAGATCCCTTAAGTTAGGATTAAGTCTATTTAGCTCCAATAACAATTTTTTAGTGAACTTTCGTGATGGATTTCCGTGCATGTAAAAAGGGAGGAGTCCTCCCGGTTTAACTTTTTTTTATACTTCAACTTGATAAATTCTGTCTTCATCCCCTCTAATTCCACAAAAGATGACAACTTTATTTGGGGATTAACTGCCAGTGGTTCCTTCACTAACAGTTCTGCTTACTCTTTTACTAGCAAAACTAAAAACAGTGTGGGAACAGAAGAAGAAGGAACTTTCAATTGGATCTGGAAACTCCAGGCACCCAATAAAGTAAAGAAATGGCTTCTTAACCACAAAAGACTCCCTACTGGGGCTACCTCCACAGAATTGGGGTCAACTGTCCAATGCTCTTACTGCCATAATTGTGAAGAAACAGTCGACCATATCTTCTTTGACTGTACAAATGCAGTACACTTCTGGAATGAATTATTTTCCAAAGCATCCATTGAAAACAGACACCAGAACTCCATCTTTTCAACCCAACAATGGCCATCAACTTGAAATACAATTAGGAAAAAGTCCTTCAATAGCCACATTCTATGGAAAAACATCATCCCCTTTTGTTTCTGGCATATCTGGCTATGCAGGAACAACAATCTTTTCAATAGCAAAAAAGATAAGATTAACACTACCAACACCATCACTAAAGCTATAGAATACTTTGTGTTGACAAAAAATGCTTTTCATCAAAACAACTCATCAAATCACCACCAAATGGGAGCCACCCAGAAGAGGATCTTACAAGCTGAATATGGATGGAGCAGCTAAGGGCACCCAGGCATAGGAGGAATAGGTGGAGTATTCAGAAATCATAATTGGGACTGGATAATTGGGTTCATGAAGAATATCCCTCACACAACCAACACTTTCGGCTGAACAGAAGGCCCTCCTAAAAGGAATACAACTTGCTGAGCAAAATAATTTGGTTCCTTTAGACATCAACACCGACACCGCTGAAATTATACAAATGTTAATCACAGGTAATCTCACTTATGATAGTATAGTTTGTGAATGCAGGTCCTTAATATGCAGGATGGACAGGGTCGTGGTGAAGCACACTTACTGGTAGCAGAATAGGGTGGCAGATGCCTTAGCCAAGGAAGCAACCAAGACAGTTTTTTTGAATAAATCTAGCATACTAGCAGTTCCTCCGATGTTTGCCAATGATGTATTTAGGGTAGACATCCCAGGAACTGATATTGTTACGATTTGGGCTGTAATGTGGATACAATACTCCAAAACATTGCTACGCTAGGGGTCTACAGTACACCACCAATGACTTTTCCGTGTAATGTCTTTATATGCTAGTTATATATAAATAACCTTTTAACCAAGTTTTTTTTTATACATAGTGCACCTAGTTGTAGTTCAAACACTAGGATCAAATGTATATACTCCCTTTGTTTCAAAAAGATTGTCTTAGTTTGACTGGACATAAACGTTGATAAAGGCGGGAAGACTTTTAAGATATGTGGTCTTAAAAAAGTCATAGCATTTGTGTGGTTGCAAACTTTTTGAAACTTGTGTCTGAAACCTGTCAAAGCATTTTTGTGGCTAAAAATACTTCCTATTAAGGAAATATTACCTTAAATACACATGATCCTTTTAGTTTATAAAAGTTATACTATTTTTCATCCACCCAATAGAACTTCCAATTGGATCATTTAAAACTAATGAAAATAATATATGTGTCTACTTGCCCGAGCTAAATAATAATCATGATCAAGTTTTCATGTCAAAATTTAATTTTACCCCAATTGTGAATTACTTTGTTACTAATAGACCTTTTATCAATTTTTTGAGTGAACGTTATCTGAACCTTTTAGTTTTTGTGTCTGTAGTGCTGAAATTGGAGAACAAAATCTTTTTTGGGACCATTTTTACTCTAATCACATGGAAAAATATATGACATCTCCGTTCATATTTAATAGCTCGTTTTGAATGTTCCTACGGTTGGGACCAAAAGTGCTTATTTTTGCAAATTTAAAGAGCCATATATGCAAAATAATACAATAGGGATGAAAGTTAACTTTCCATCAATTTTTAAGGGACTATTTTAATGGGAAAGTCCGGTGTACAAAGCGTCCTGCCTTCACGCAAGTTTCAGGGAAGCACCGCACCCCAAGAGGGTGTGACGTAGACAGTCTACCCTAATGGAAGCATTAGCGGACTAACAGTTGTTTCTACAACTCGAACTCGTGACTTATAGGTCACACAAAATCAATTTTACCGTTGCTTCAAGGCTTCCCTAAATGGCAGTGACTGATTTTGTAAGTGAACTTATATAGTGGAGTTTTACATAGTGAGTTTAGTACACAAAAAGATGTGTACCATAAGTCCATAACAATAGTAAGTGATAGACCAAATGAATATGCTTTTTTTTAGTTTTCATTTGATACCAAGTGATATGTATCAAAAATCTTGCTGCTTAGATGTTTTGACAAATTGACAAAAGTTTCATACAGCCTCTGTTAGAATGTGATTTTTTCAATTTCTTGAACTCAATATGATTTTCCTAAAATACCTTTTTCTTTAGCATAATATTTACAGACTTAAAGAGGAGTATATCAGACTTTGCCAACTTTTATTTGCTTCAACAGTTTAATTCAAGTTTTGCCTTAAGCTCTAGGGAGCTTTCTTTATTGTCAACATTCAAGTTTGCAGGAAATAGGAAAAGAAAAGAGAAAAGCTTTGATACATCCCCATGAGACAGGAATATATATTATCTAAAAATGAATTTGACCACAAGATTTTGTTTATCTTGGATTCAATACACTATTAGGCAAATGAACATAAATAAACAGAGAACAAGAAAGTAAAAAAGGAGAGGAAAATCAAGGCAATAGTACAATCTACTACGAGCCAAAATTGAGTTGGTGCAATTATTTTTTTATAACTGTGGCATCTGAGCCAGCTTGCGCCCACCTCGACTATTCCACAGGATACTTGTTACCTCTCACCAGCTGATGTAATTAATTTAAGCAGGACAACACTGGGGTTCAAAATTTCTTTGCCTGACCAATTCATGCATGTCATGGACTATCTTAAATACAGCATCTGGCCTTGCTAATCTTAGAGCATTTTGGGACATTATTCTGAGTTCATCTTGTCTTGGACCAAACCACTGAGCTACTATATTGGCTATCTTTTTAGGTGACTTTGAGAATTTCCCACATCCGTTCTCGATAACATATGGAACGTTTCCAGCTTCCTGCAGTAGATAAAACAAACGTATGGAGGATAAGAAATTAGAATAGGTTGAAAAGACTCCGGACTTGAGCATAATAGGAAACATCTGCATTGACAAAACAAATGAACCTAGATAAAAGAGGTGATGTTCGTTTAGTCAAATTATGTTAGTGCGCGGTTGTAGTAAAACATTAATAAACACCATGCAAAGCATTCAAAAGCAGTGTGTGAAAAGTTTAACAGAGATTTACAAACTTAATTATTAAGATGATGCAACGTTAAGAAGGATGCCATCAGCCAAATAAAACCAACAAACCAATTATAATCATTAGTTTGAGGGTTACGATTAAGAGGATAACTCAAGACAAACAACAATCAGACGTGTAGTGTAGTGGGGTTCCGAGATTTAAAAAAAAGGTAACTGCGACGTGGGATACTAAGAGAAATTAGCAAACATCATGATGTAAAGTGCCTCCGCATTTGTACAGCTTTTAAAGAGGTAGCTGGAGCAATGAGAACTAACATTTGAAATGGAAAGTTTTAAGAAAGGAATATTATCTAATTAAGATCTTGGCAAGACACAAGTAATCGGATGAACCTCATAGAAAAGGTATTCTGAATGCGCGGAAGGCAAAGGAAAAAGGAACTCCTAAAGAAAGAACCAAATAATATACTGAATGCTCGATATACCTGTCCAGCAATGTAATCATTAAGAATTATAGGCAGTCCTCGAATCACGGCTTCTGCAATAGTCCCCGGCCCAGCCTGCAGAAAACCAGAATAATTATAGTACTCTTTTTTCTTTTTTCACTTTGAGGCGAAGGGGGTATCTTATCCTCCCTTTTCTATTTGGTTTATTGAAGTAGACAGCTAGAAAGCAAGTGACAAACCTTAGTGATAATGCAATCACAAGCGCCCATACATTCCTCCATTTTAGTGACAAATCCCTTTACCTGAAACATGACATAGACACGCCAAGGACACACATAAGTGTTCGAGCATGTAAACTTTAGTCAAAAGGTATACTATGTACATTGGTATTATATGTCAGTCATGTTGGGATCGAAATAACATGGTGCATGTGAAAACTAACAGTACAAAGCTTGGTAGACGATAAATCAGACAGACAAAAGAAAAATATACTAAACTAAGCATATGATAAAACTAATATAAAAGAAGAAAACTATCGAGAGAAAAATCTCCCCTTAAACAAAACTCTTTAATGACTACATTGTGGATATTTTTGTTCTCTTGTGAGAAGCAGAGATCCTTAATTTATAGATGTGCAATTCTCGTCTTCCAAGAAAAGGATAAGACATATTAAGGAGATTTAATCCTTTTAGGAGTCTTTTTCCATTCCTTCAAGAAAGAGAGTCATAATAGATTAGAAATTCAGGATAAATCCTAACAATCTCCCCTTGGCTTGAATTTTCTTGACAAAGTTGATTCACCTTCTTCACATAATCTTCATCACTGCTGCTCGGTATAGGTTGAAAATTTTGGTATTGGTTAAAAGAAGCCCAAGTATGGGTTGAAAGGAGCCCACGTGTTAAGAATAAACATGGGGTCAAAGAAGCGCATGCATTAAAAAGAAGCGTGAGTTAAAACTGGCATTGGAACTCATGCGTTACAAGTAGGCATGACTTAAAACTGGCATTGGTTAAAAGCGGCCAAAATATGGGTAAGAAAGATTTTTATTCTAATAAAGATGCAGCAGCAGGCGTTTTGAATACAATTGTGGTTGTAAATTTATCGCCACATGTAGCATGTTGAATAAATCTTCATTATCGTCTCGATCTAAACACGCATTGAATTTGTCTTCAACCTTGTTCAACCGTTGACTCTGAACCATTGGCTCTGATACCTCTTGTTGGGATCGAAATAACATGGTGCATGTGAAAACTAACAGTACAAAGCTTGGTAGACGACAAATCAGACAGACAAAAGAAAAATATACTAAACTAAGCATATGATAAAACTAATATAAAAGAAGAAAACTATCGAGAGAAAAATCTCCCCCTAAACAAAACTCTTTAATGACTACATTGTGGATATTATTGTTCTCTTGTGAGAAGCAGAGATCCTTAATTTATAGATGTGCAATTCTTGTCTTCCAGGGAAAGGATAAGACATTAAGGAGATTTAATCTTTTTAGGAGTCTTTTTCCATTCCTTCAAGAAAGAGAGTCATACTATATTAGAAATTCAGGACAAATCCTAACAAGTCACTCACATATACAGTGAATCTGCAGCTCACAAGTAGCAAAATGTTACACTAACTGGTTTAAAAAAAAACATCATGCTTTAAAATTACGAAAAATTGACAATAAACCCTAAGTTAAAATGTAAAATGGACAATTATCTGCATTCGTTATTTTAAGCATCCATTATGTGGTCAATGACTTAATATTTTGAGTACAAGAATGTGTGCAAGAGAATTTCGGGCAAAGATGGAGGTTTGGTATCAACAACAGGATGGAGTGATTATTGGATACCGAGCTTATTACACCAATTAAAATGGAAGGGAAAAATAACGTGTTTCACAATTGAGTGTTTCCTGAGTGATTCAACAATTTCAGAGACCTTTCAGATGATACAACAGCGAGATAAGCGTGAAAATGCCAGGCTGGCAAAATGTTTCGAGGAGCAATACCTGAACAGGAATTTTCCACTGTACTGAAGTCAATCTGTTGAAAAGCTTCTTATTACGGCCGCATATTACTAGGACCTGACCTATTGGTTCCCCATGAATTTCATCATACAGTGCATCTCCAAGTGCTCGAGCAGTTGCCTCTATTGGGCCCATCCCTTCCCCACCACCCATCAACAGTACAGCTGGGAGATGCTCCTCCATTCCAAGTTCCTTCCTCAGTTCAACCTGTAAATTGGATTAGAGAACAGTCTAAAAAGAACTGATCATGTGAGTGATAGCGCAAAGAATATGAGAGAACACGATACAGAGGTATGATAGCAGGGCCCACTATTTCCATGTACCCTGCGGAAACTGGAGGAATTACACTTACCTTGGGAGGAACCGGCTTCACAAATGATGGCCGTACGGGAAGCCCGTAAACTTTTAGTTGATATGGCTTGAGACCTGCTCTCAGTGCTCGTTTTGCTACCTCTTCTGATGGACAGTAGCACCTAGTAACGAGTTTGTGAAACCTAAATATGAAATTCAAAACAATATTATTAGTATTACAAGGATCAAGATAATTAGAATTTGTTGAATAACCATAAAATATACCATGTAGGATGACAAGTGCTTAAATCTGTTATAACAGTTGTAAATATGATCTTCTTCAAGAGACCCTTGGACCTCAAGATGCGAAGAGGTACATGCTGCATTAGAGGATGTACACTGATAATAATATCAGGTTGATATTTCATTAAACCTTTAGCAACCTCGCTGCACAAAGTAGGAGAGAAGGCTTGTTATACAACTGAAGCTGCTACAAGGAAAATAAGAACTAGTCAGCTGTAAGCTGGGTGCAGATACGCATATTAACGTTCAACCAGTCCAAGTATATATTGAAAACACGGAAGGGAAACATTTTTTGGGTAAAAAGAATCAATACAGCAGAATGGCATAAGCTCATAATAATATCAAGAGGTGAGAAAATTCCAATAGAAATGACTAACTGAGAAATAGGGGAAACATAAGTAGAGAACTGATAAAATTGTCCCATGCAAATTATTGACCAAAAAATAGTGCACCATACAAATTGAGTCATGTGTTATGTCAAGAGGCATACTTTTATACAGGTTTAAGTGACAAGACTCCTGGGGTGAGAAGCAAGATGCAAGAAGAAAGCCTCACCTTGTAAAGCACACATTCCACAAAAATAAAGTTTACTTATCATATATGAATTTAAGATTTACAACACCTAATTTAAAATTAATAGTACTAATTTAGCATCCAATATACTATAATAGCTATATTAATCCCAAACATCATTTAGTTAACTTCAATTTTCAAATTAATCTCCTATTACTATTTTCACTCTAGTGACGGCTCTTTCATATATTCTTTATGGCATTTATATATTTAATATGAATTCCTTTCTTCTCCAACACCCACCAAAGGACCTTCCGTGGTACTCTATCATATGCTTTCTCTAGGTCAATGAACACCATGTGTAGATCTTTATTCCTTTCGCGATAAATTTCATCAATCTTCTTAGCAAGAATACAGCCTATGTTGTTGATCTACCGGGCATAAATCCAAACTGGTTCTCTGTCACTCCTATCGTGTTCCTAAGTCTACGCTCTATCACTCTTTGCCGGGGTTTCATCGTATGACAATGAGTTTAATGCCACGATAGTTCGCACAATTTTGAATATCTCCTTTGTTCTTATAAATTCGAATCAAGGTACTCTTCCTCCACTCTTTGGGGCATCCTACCACTTCTTAGTATAGCATTAAATAGCTTGGAGAACCATTTTACTCCCAATTCTCCAATACACTTCCAAATCCGTATAGGAATGCAATTTGGACCACACATTTTTTCTAATCTTCATATTTTCATGCCATCTTTTACCTCTATCGGCCTAATAATATTAGTGCAGCTAAAGCTTCTATAGTGTAGAGGTCTAAATGTTTATTTTCTTGGTTTGAATTGAACAATTGATCAAATAATCTCTCTATCTCTCCTCAATCTTGTTAACTCCTATCAACGCTTCTTGAGAATTATCTTTACTACACTTCACCTGGTTTAAATCCTTACCCCTCTTCTCTCTCAGTCGTGCTAGTTTATACATATTTTCTCCCCTCTTGTGTCCCTAGCTTTCGGTACAAGCCATCTAGAGCTTTCCTCGAGCTTTACTAGTAACCTTCTTAGCTTCCCTCTTCTTTTTCTTGTATTCTTCAAAGGCTTCTCCATCTTTGATTTTAGCAACTTCCTGTAGCACTCTCTTTTAGCTTTAATAATCTTTGTACCTCCTCATTCAACTAGGATTCCTATGTCAAAGCAGGTAAAGGTGTTGAGTTTGAGTTTTACCGCCACCTATTATCAATTGACTAAGTATACATTGGATATACTAGAAGAAGCGGGTTTGCTAGATTATAGACCTATTGACTTGTGATGAGCAATTCACATTACATGTTGCTTCAAATTTTGCGTTCACAAAAGAATGGAGTAGATTGTCACTTTATCAGGCTACAGATTGAGCCATGAGATACTGCTACAAGCCTCGTCAATCCACATGACCTTTTTGTAAAAATAGTGGTGCTAAATCCTACCGGCATAGTATTGGTTAACTCTAACTCACCAAGGCGTAGACAGATAGGAAAGAATCACCTAGTATATTTTTTTCTCTACTGGGATTGAACCTTGATCCCAAGGTTTGCACCCACTTTATTGATCACTAGGCCATACCCTTAGGTGCACTTCGAATGACCACGTAGCAAATATCCTCTTACCATATTAGGAGCACACAATACGTACAATCCAACTTAAGGAGTGGAAAGAATCGTAAAGATTATGGACATTAAGCCTAACATAACCTCGAAAATTAACTTATGAGATGATTATTCTAACACCGTATAAGCAGATACTTACTTTAATTGATTAAAGAAAATAACAACTCATTCCCTCATTGTGAGATACTTAACAACCTCGCACGCCCAGAGTTGAACATCTGGAGCGGAAATAATATAACATGGGAGTCCAATATTGGGTAAACTAATAACGTAGATGGGTCCGGCTCTGATACAATGCAAAAAAAAAAAAAGGACATTGCGCAACTCAACCCTAACAACTAGCTCGTTAGATGAGGATACCCCAAGACCATATAAGGAGACAACAGTTCATTCCCTCAACAGAGACTATTAAATGGATGGACATAATATGCCCTAATGTGAATCCAAAATTTCAGATTACCCATTGATACAAAAAAAATCATTAAGTGTCTCATATTGCAATTAATACACCTTTGACTTTGACGGCAAAAAGCTCTAGATAGAGTAGTTTAGAGTAGAAGGAGCTCTAAGTTGGACGTCAATAGATTATGTTTGTCCATTTGTATCATAAGATTATGGGTTCTCATAGGGTGAGCAGTCCAACTTTGAAACTAGAATGCTCCATAAATCCTTGCTTCACGTTGCTCTGCCATTAAGTTGTGGATGATCGTTTTCAATGACACTTTTAAATACATGATCGATTAACATAAATTACAGAAACCAAAAGAAAAGGAAAAGACGCCCAATCACTTTACACTGACAGAAGATAAGGAATTAAGGGTCAACTTCTTGTAATGCTCTTTGAAATAAGACCACTGGAGGTGGCTGGTCATTGAATGATAAGCAGCTTCTCGATATAACAAATTTGCTAGAGCGCCACATGAAAATGTACCAATGTTCAAGTTCACGCTCATGGTTCAGTTAAATGCTAATCAAAAGCGATGCAGACAACAAACACATTAAGCCTGATAGTGATATAAAGCACATATAAAATAAAGATGCAGATTGCAGCATAAATATTACCAATATTCTTAAACGAATGCCATACCAAATTCTCTTTCAATAAATATCCTGCAGTAACTACCACAATAACATAACGTATTTTTTTGGATAAACAAAGAATCTTAGCATTTTGAAAAATACAATATCTTGCAAAATAGACACTGCACTATGATGATTAAGGAAGGACTATATATTTACTGTGGCAAGAGCTACCAATTGTTTCATCTATCAAACACTGAGTCTTAGTTATGTCAAGATTATATCGATTCGTGCTAACCAAAGAAGTCATTCTTACCGAGCAATAAAAGTAGATGTAGCAGCAAAATTGGTCTGATGAACTAAACGAGGAGCAGTAGCATAATATGTCATTCTCCACAGAGAGCCATGTTTCACTAAGAAGTTGTAACTCCGTGGTAGTTGGTTAAAAGGCCATGGTGTATGTTCTGTCCACAAATCAGTAATGAACACCTGCAATGCACCCTCTTTAAACGGATACAACAACATAATCAACACACATACTCATATGTCTCATACTTTATCATATTTGCTACACATATATCCACCACTTATTGGCATAGGAGAATCTAGTCCTCGCAGCACATTCAACCAAATCCGTTGCTTTTGGTTCAAACATGTATACATATAAGGTCAGCTCGGTGCACTAAGCTCCCGCTATGCGCAGGGTCCGATGGAGGGCCGGACCACATTGTGTCTTATGCACGCAGCCTTACCTTGTATTTCTACAAGAGGCTACTTTTCGCGGCTCGACTGCGTGACCTCCTAGTCACAGTATGGCAACTTTTACTGTTGCGCCACTGCTCTCCTTCAAACATGTATACATATACAGAAAAGTATAAACTAGTTGTACTCATTCGGACACACTGACTCTAAATCCTGGATTTGCCTATACTTAGTATGCGAGAAGTCAAAAGGAGTCCATCAAAACTAACCTGATATTTATCTCCAAATTCTTCATTGAAAGCAGACCTAATAGCTTCAGCAGAGGCTCTGTGACCCCCACCAGTATCACTCATCAAAATAAGCACCTTTTTCGGAGGTTCCGGTTCGACACCATCGCTAGGTATTCCCCCATTCTCTACTACACTCCCCTCATCCCTAACCCCATTGCTCTCTCCACAATTAACCCCAACTGAGGCAAACCCAAGAGGGATTTTCTCACAATGAAACCTAATAGCCTTATTAAACTGAAAAAGAACTCTACTAAATGATGAAGCACTCTTATTACTAATACTCAAACTCAATAGTGGTGCAGCCTTTGGCTTATTCTTGTGATTCAAAGAATCTTTTTTTACATTACAATCAAAATACAAGTAATTAGACAGCAAATTTGAATATGAATCTAAAGTGAAGTTACTTTTGCTGACTCTACTACATGAGTTATGAAACACAAAAGAGCCTACTTGAGATACAAAACCAAAGGGGTTAGTGGGTTCTTGAGTTACAGAAGAAGAATGCTGCATCATTTTACACTTCTGTTATTGGGGGGAAAAGGTTAAAATCAGTGGATAATCCAAAAGGGTGTTTATATATAACATAAAGATTGGATTTTTAATTTTTTTTCTGGGCATCAAGAATCTTTACATTACATAGCAAGAAAAAGTTGAGAAAAAGGGTTATTAATAAAAGAGCTAAGTAAGATGAAAGGCACTGATGTTGAAAGAGTGTGTATGTGGGTTGGGGTTGGGGTTGGGGTTGTGTGTGTGTGGGGTGGGGGGGGGGGGGTAGGT